AATGAATAAAAGTTATTTTTTTTTTTTTTTATAAATTTTGGGTTTATATTTATTTTTATATATTTATCATTTAAAACATATAACGCTTTGCATCGTCTTAATTCGATTTCTTAATTGTAAATAATTTTAGCTTGGATTTCACGACCAAACAATAAATTAGATATGTATATAAAAACTGCCTTAACTTTAACCCATTTGCTGTCCTCTTTTTTTGTCGCATTTTCTAACAAAACAATATCTTTTGTACACTCTTCTTTCGAAAATCTGTTCGGTTTTTCTCTTTCACTTAGATTAAACTATTTCTATTTTTAATGACTGTTTACGAAAGCGAAAGAAAAAACATTACAGAAAATACATTAATGAAAGCACCGAAACTTTTTGTTCTCTGCTTAATATTTCGTTGTTGTTGTTGTTGTTGCACCAATTCTGTAGAAGAACGCGATATTTGTGGCAAGATTTCACTAACAATTTGCTGCTGTTACGTATTTCAACTATAAAGAAATTTACCCCCCCGAAAAGTTTGGTCGACGCAACCAAAAAAGCAAAAAAATACGCCAATAAAAACTTAATCGACTAAGAGCTGCAACAGTTTAACCAACGCCCGCTGTCAAAGCGGGGCCGTAGTCGCAGGTCCGGGCTGCTCTACGCCAGCACACCGTCCAGTGCGTGAATGACACCGTTTGTGGCGGGAATGTTGGAGGTGACCATCTGGGCATCGTTCACCTTGATCTTGCCAGCCGAGGTCTTCTGCAGCACGACCGTCTTGCCCGTGTACAGCGAGTCCTTCACCTGATAGAACCGCATGCCGGCCGAGTACAGTGCCCCGGGCACAATGTGCTTCATGGCGAACTGTTCGGCTGCCTCCTTGTCGGTGAAGAGCTTCTCCAGCGTATCCGAGTCCAGATCGTTAAAGCTCTTGTCCACCGGTGCGAAGACTGTGTACGTCTTGACACCTGAAAAGGAATTTGGTTTAGTTTCCATTACGTTCAACATATCATCAACATTTCTTACCCTTGCCTTGCAACTTCTCGGACATGCCCGAGGTGTACAGTATCTTTAGGAAGTTGGAGAAGCGACCCTCGCGATCCGATTGCAGGGTCTGCAGCAAATCGCCCACTGGCAGCGGGAACATAACACGATCCACCGCATGCGCCACGCCCTGCGGTATCTTAATGTCCTTCTTGTTCAGCACAACCATTGCTCCATTAATGGTGGTGAGCTGAAATTGAGTGTGGAAACGTATGTGAGTGCAGTTTGATTGAAGTAGATTGATAGTGAGTGAAAAATTCGTATTACATTGAAGTTGATACTAGGTATAGCCATATGGCTAAGGGAATTGTAAAGTGAAATGAGTCGGTCGTCTTACTATAAGCAATATCGACTGGCCCAGTAAAGCTCTCGGAGCTGTAGGTATAACGTCAATCAATCAACTAGGCAGTCAATCGTTATGTCAGTCAGTTAGGCAGTCAATCAATCATTCTGCTTTTATCGACAGCTAGATTGGAGGCTGTCTCTTTACATATCGGTCAGTCAGTCAGTCAGTTAGTCAATCATTCAGTAGACAATTAGTTGAATTTCAATGTCTATTACTCTTCTAGTTTGCTTGTCTTGATATATGTCAATCAGTTAGCTAAACTACCTGTATCGTTATGTACTAGTCGTCAATCAGTTAGTCAATCATTCTGTAAGATTATCAATTAGCTTGTCTGACAGATTTACTATATGATTGATTGACTGACTGACTGACATATAGAGACAGCCAGACGTCTCTTTCCATAGCAGTCAGTCAATCAATCATATAGTAAGTCTGTTAGTCAAGTTGTCATTGTCTCTATTACTTTGCTAGTCTGCCTCTCCCTTTATACATCAGTCAGTCAGTCAGTCAGTCAGTGAATTATTTAGTTAGCCCATCAATCAGCTAGCTAGTCTGCCTACCTGCCCAGTCAGTCATCTTGCACAGCTATTGTAATAGAAAACTATCGCCTAGCTCTTACAGCTCTAGCTAGTAATTAATCATCAGTCAATCTGACCGTCAATCCTACAGTCAGTCAATAAGTTCGTCTGCTGCACTGACTGACTTGCAACTCTTTCTCTCGTGCTCTCAATCTTAGTGATGGGCGATTCAATCGACTCAATCAGACAAGCCCAGCTGAGTGCTCTTCCCACTCAATGTCCCAGTCAGGCGTTCTCTCAATCCTTTAGTCCCCATGATTGTCTATTTTCGATGATTGTCTGTTCCATTCGGTGCATTCATTCACAAATTCAGTATCCAAATTTGGGCTTACAGTGACATCGTTCCACTCCTGATCGTGCATGTTATACTGATTGACGCGCAGCTGTGTGCCCGCCAAGGACACGCCGGTCATCTCGTCCTGCAACGTGGCAATCTCAAAGGCGCCAGGGATGACATGATGCAACAGCAGCTGGAAAATAGAAATCCATGTGAGTACACAGAGAGTCAACACTATGAGGCACCACTTACACCACTCAACAGTCGAGGATTCGATTGGAACTTCTCCTCGGCGCGCTCGGGTCCACCGAGCTGGACGAGCAGGTTCTTGAAGGCCTTGTCGGTGGGCACGAAGATCGTGTAGGGACCCGTTTCGTTGAGTATGCTGTCCAGGCCACTCTGGCGCAGATACTTGGCCATGGCGAAGAGTCCATTGCTCTTGAGTATCTGCAGCAGATCCTCACTGGGATTCGAGAGCACCGATGCACCGCCCGTGGAGGCCGCCTTCTCCGTGTTCTCCGTCTCCTGCACCAGGGCATCGGCGTATTGTGCTGGCGTCTGTTGCTCCGGCGTCTGCGCGATGTCCGAGAGACGCTCAGTTACCACTGGCAGATGAGTGGAGGCGCCGCCCGGGTAGGACGACTGCGTGACAGGTGAAGAGTGATAAATGGGTCCGGGTGTGGTGCGGATCAAGCTGGCGGCGGCGGCAGCGGCGCTGGCTGTGCTGCTGCTCTCGTAGACGCCCGTGTAGCGGGGCGTATAGGGCGTGCTGGTGGTGCTAGTGGTGCTGATGGGCGGGCTGCTGGTGGTGGTGCTGGTGCTGGTGGTGGATGTGCGCGATGGGTGATACTGGCGGTGGTTGCTGGGCGCGTTCCTCGAGACGAACGGCGCTGGCGTAGTGGAGGTCGTCGTATATATTCTGGCAGTGGTTGTGGTCGGTGGTGGGCGAGTGGTTGTCGTGGTGGTCGTCTGTATAATCTTGCCGCTCTTGATCTCCACAACCTCATCGTTGGGCAGTGTCAAGCGATAGACGGACGGAGGCAGCTTGATCTCTCCGCTGCGGATGCGCTCCAGAATGCTCTCGACCTCGGCGCCCGTTTGCTTCGTCTCCTTCTCGCCGTTGGCCTTGACGCCCTGGATCTTGAAGCTGCCGTCGGCCTGCTCCTCCAGGTACACATATGTCGCCTTCTTCTTGGGCGGTGCGGTGGGCGGTGCTGGCGTGGCCTTGGCAGAGTCCGAGCTCAGGCCCTCGATCTCGTAGCCGTCGGGTATGAGGCCACGCTTCGCCAGCTCCTCCAGGGTGGGCGGGCTGTCCGAGTCGGAGGTAATGACCGCCGAGCTGGCAATGCTGTTGGCGCCATTTGTCACGCCCTGGATATCGCCCGCTCCGCCGCCGTACAAGGCAGCCAGGCTGGACAGGTCGACGCCGCCGGGCAGTGCCTGGGCGGGCAGCGTGTCCGACTCCTGCGGATCGGGTGAGCGTAGTATTTGCACCTTGCCACCGCCGGGCAGCACCAGATCCTTGCTCTTGCTAGGCGCCACATCGCTCAGACTGAGCTTCGCCTCCGAGCCGAGCGCCTGCTGGGCCAGCAGCGCCTGCAGCTGGTCCTGCGAGTAGGCCTGTTGTCCCTGCACAAGATTCGGGTCTGTGGTGCGGATGACCTGCACACGCTGTCCATTGGGCAGCACCAGGTCCATCTCATCGTAGGTCTTGTTGCCGGTCAGCGGCTGCTGTGGCGCCTCCGACAAGGCAGCCTTCAGCTGCTTCAGCAGATCCTCCCGGGCAATCGTCTTCACGGGCTTCTTGCTGCCCAGCTTCGTGGCGCCGTATTTGCCCAGCTCCGCCTTCACCTGGGCGTAGATGTTCTTCTTGGGCGTGGTGCTAGCCTCTGTGGTGGTGGTGGTCGTAGTGGTTGTGGTGGTGGTCGTCGGATGCTCCTTGTAGTACTGCTGCAGAGCGCTGTTGAACTGGCTGTACTCCGTGGGATGGGCAACGGGTCGGCCACGCGGCGGCTGCACGTACTGCGGCTGCGGCGGATAGTTGTTGTGCTGGCTGATGATGGTGGGCAGCACATGCTGCTTGATGGCGTGCTGCTTCGCCAGGAACTCCTCGTGCTGCTGGCGCACCTTGTGCTGCGACTTCTCGTACTGCTTGGCCACGAACTGCTCGTGCTTCTGTATCAGCTTCTGCTTGTATTCCAGATCGGCGGGCTGGGCCTGCGGTCCGTTGCTGATGAACTGATGTTGTTGCGGGGGGAATAGCTGCTGCTGCTGTTGTTGTTGTTGCTGCTGCAGATAAGTCTCTCGCGAGGGCTGAGCGGGAAAAGCTGTCGAAGGCAGATTGTTAAAGATTTGCGGCAGGGGTAATCCCAGCTGTGGTGTCAATGGATATTGCTGCTGCTGCTGCTGTTGCTGTGGTTGCTGCAACAATTGCTGCTGTGGCTGTTGCTGTTGCTGATAGTTCAGTGGCGATTGCTGCAGTGTCTGGAAGGTGGGCACGGGCGCCTGACTGGGCAGCTTCTGTGTGGTCTGTTGGCCAAGTTGTTGGGGTTGCTGGTAAGCGAATTGCTGCTGTGGCAATGCCTGCTGCTGCTGTTGCTGCTGCTGCTGCTGCTGATAAGCCTGCGCTGGAAACGCTGTCGATTGGAGTCGTGCATCGGGGAATTGCTTGTGGCGCTGGGGCTGCTGCTGCTGCTGCGAGCTAGCATAGTTGCGCAAGTCCAAAAAGTTCTGGTGGTGCAGGTCAAGATTGCTGGCAGTTGAGGGCAACTGTTGCTGCTGTGGTGCTTGGGGATATTGTGGGGCTGTCTGCAGTTGATTTTGTGTGGAGCGCTGGAACTGCTGATTAATGGGAGGACTTTGCTGCTGCTGCTGCTGCTGATGTTGGTGTGGCACTTGTTGCTGCGGCTGCTGCTGTTGCGGGTATTGCTGCGAGAAGCGATGCTGCTGCTGGTGGTGCTGCGGCTGCTGCTGGTGGTGATGATGGTGGAGATGTTGCTGGCGGTGCTGATGCTGCGGCGGTATGGGCAGCTCCACGCCAGCTTGCAAAAAGTTCTGTTGATTAAATTGCGGCAGATTCAGCTGACGGCGATTGCCATTGTGAAAGGGATGCGGATGCAGATGCGGTGGCTAAAAGAAAAGACAATGATTCTATTAGCCAAGTAATCAAAAATATTGGCTTAACAATATAGCGAGCTTAACCATGTATGCCTCACATACATATTTTCCATAGGAGTAGCTGGTGAAATTTAGTTTACATCAAATGAACTGCAACAGCAGACATTGACAACTCTTCACATGACTTAATAGGGGAATGACCATATCCACAGCAACTGGATTATATTGTGGATCGTTACATAATTTGCTATTGACACTAATACGAAAAACAAAAACCAGATTTAATGCCAGCGAAATTGAAAACTGGCAGCAGAAAATTGATCATTGACTGAGCAAAAGTGGGCTGGTTCCCCTTTTCGAACGGCCGCCACATCGCTCATATGAACCAGTTTTGTTGTTTGTTGGCCAAAGCCTGCTCCATATATGATAGCTACAACAACACTAGTGCGTCTACTGTGGGTCCTTACAAAAGTCGAGCAAAAGTGAGTGAAGAGAAAAAACTAGTCAAAGTCATGAACTTGCCCGCATTATGAATGTTATGTTAAACCGGATTACAGCTAAAGTGAAGCGAAAGTATGGCAGTGACGTCACAGCGAGCAAATTTATTGCTTTTATTCTTTCGCATTCCAATGTAAGCAGAAAGAGAGCAAGCGAAAGCCAGAACAAGTAAGGTTACGAATTTCGAAATCGAAAGAAGAGCAACAAGACACACTCAATTGAGCTTTTCTATGCGTATGCAGTTAATGTTGTGAGCTACGAATTTCGAAATTGAAAGAAGAGCAACACAAGGGAAAGACGCACTCAATTTGAGTTGCGCTCACTAATTGAGTTTGAGTTTCTTTCGTTGTCGAAATAAGAACAACATAACGGAAAGACGCACTCAATTTGAGTTGCGCTCACTAATTGAGTTGTTCTATGCTCTTCGCTGCCACTGCGTATGCAGAACGTTCTTCGTGTCTTCCTTTTTAACTACTTTTCTATGTATTGTGAGTGTCAACTATTTTCGAAATCGAATGCACAAGCAGACTAACTCAATTTGAGTTGCGCTCATTAGTCGTTCGGTGGTTTTCGTTGCGGCTGCGTAGGCTGCTCATATTTCTATTGTGTTTTAATTAAATTGTTTTGTCTATTGAGCGTTAAATAATTAAGCTTGTATTATTAAAACCTAAGTGATTGCCATTTTTATATAAATTGTATTGAATACAAATTGTCAACTATTGCAGAATCGAAAAGAACACAAAGCGAAACGTAAAAGACGTGATTTCGAAATAAATGTAATCGCACAAAAATATTATAATCAGCTGAAAGTGTACAATGTTACATGGCGTGTTGGAATTATGATTACAGATAAATTCAAAAGAGAGATCTTGATGAAGCCATCAAATTGCGTCGCCGTTTACAAAGTGAGACATTTGATTGGCGCCATTTGCTTCCGCACAATTGATGAGCTGTTGCTGAAAAGAAAGAAGAAGAAAAACGCTGTGCTGCAATGGCCAACAATTTCTTTTGTTTTCAATTGTTGCAGTTGTACAGCCGCCGCCTGGGATCTTTCACAAAACTTACGCAGTCTGAGGTAAGGTTTAAAATGCTTGTCATACGCACCGCACACGCATTCCAGTCGGATTGGAATAAACTGGAATGATGCGGCACAATGAGAGAGAGAGAGAGAGAAAGAGAAACGCAGCAAAAACACAGCGCAGATAAACAGTTATTCAACGAGAGGAAGATGAGCGGCGTGTGCAGGTGTTTGTGTTTAGTTAACGGATAAAGAGTGGCTGGCACAAAGACTTATAAAATGCTGAGCAGCATGCATAATTTTTATCGCTCAGAGCCCATAAATCTTATGGCTTTTGCATTATCTTACGACATTTGGGATGCGTCTGCAAGATTTTTAGTTTCATTTATGCCACACCAGCCGTTCCCCCCACCCTGCTGCTGTACCCCCAGTGGCTTTTTCTTTTTTCGCATAGTACTCGTAATTATGTTGTTGACGCTAATGATGCAGCTCATCATCGGCGCAGCCGTCGAAGCTGCCATTCGCGTTAGCTGATTATGCAACAGCCTCACACAAAGCAGCAACAACAACAGCAGCAACAGAAACAGCAGCAGCTGCAGCTACTGCAGCAGCTTCTTCTTCCACTTTTCCACTTTTCTTTTGTATGGCTGCAAAGCCGAACAAAATTGTTGAGTGAGTCGGATTTCCAAAGGGCTTTACGGATTGGCGCTCTGTGATTTTTCTCCTGAACTGAGAACAGTCTTGAAAAGCGTATTGTTATTATTATGGGGGCCGTCCTAAGTATTTCCAGGAACTAAACTTCATTTTTTAAATTTGATTATAAGTTAAAGCTTCAGAAATATGAAATTATGAAGGAAGGAAGCAAGGAATTATAATTTCATAGGAATTTAAAATTATATTAAGGATTCTTAAAAATGAGGTAGAGGAAAGATAGTTAAAAAAAAAACAAAAACCAAAATGGACATTGAAATGAATAACAACATATGTCCATCCTTAAATTCATTTCAAGTTGTTTACAAAATATTAATTTTATTATTCAACATTTGGTGTACAGTCGCACATTTTTATGGGCAAAGCAGTATATTAAATCCGTAGCTGGATTTAGCTCTTATTTAATATTTAATATTGACGCAAGTCACATATACTACAATTACATTCCATATTATGGCATATCGCTAACCCGACAGCTAATCCATTTATACAGGGTTCAGGACCTTGTGGCTTGGCGTTCAATGACTTGCGTAGCATCCGTTTCTGCTAAAAAGAAATATTTATTTTTTCACACAAACCATATCTTTTTGACGATTTTCTTTGGCTTTCGACATAAAAGTTTCCCTCACTTGTTTTTTGACAAATTGCGCAGCTGGTGAAAACATCAATCAATCAGTCATCAATCAAGTRCCCATAAGCATTGGCACTGTAATCAGCCAGCCAAACATCTCGGATTCTGCCTGCGCTCCCAGACTCAATGAGCTCTCTTAACCGAAAGGGCTCCATAATAATTTGGCGTCATATTTCATGGGGCATGGAGCATGGAGCATGGAGCACGTTACAAACATGTTAATTTCACGGCTCACACATGCAAAGCGGCTTTCGTTTCTTCACTCCGACTGCCCCGCCCAGCCGAGTCTCATGAATGGGCGCTACGCATGCGCCTAGCACTTTATACCTGGGCCGAACAGGTGTAACCGTGTTGTCAGTTGCGGTGCTTGTCACATGCCAACACGAGACCCACATTAGCGCTGCAATGTGGTTTGTAGTGGGGCGGCTGTAGCTACTGGCCGAAGGTGTCAATTGTGCGACAATCGGAGAAGTGTTGGTGTCTCTTGAAATGAAGCGATTGATCGAAGCATCAATCAAGCCAGTGGCCATGTTCCAACAGCCATAAGACAATTAATCTTCATAATTTTTGTTTTTTACTGTCGATTCGAGTGAAATTGGTTTTAATGATTGGCAGCTGGGATTTTCATGAGGTCGAACGAATTAGCCATTTGTCGGGCTGCGTATAAAGGTTTTTTTTAATCTTAAGTATCTACTTCTATACATTTTTTATTTCATTTCTAATTCGTAATATTTATTGTTCATTTGCAGTGTGCTGGAATGTTGATGGATCTTCGTGAGTAAAAGTAAGTTTTTGTTTACTTTTGATTTCTTTTTAATTTCGTTTGTAAATATTTTCTAATTGATGTATATAATTACCCCTGGAAGATAGCTAAATGCTGTGAGGTTATTCAGTGTATGTCAGAAGTGAGTTAAATTATTTCATTGAATTCAATTTTTATTCACTCAAATCTCTTTATTTTTGTATTAGATGGTACATCTTAATGGCTATACGATGGATAGGTACTCTATGCAGTTAGAAAGGCATCCAATATGTGTCTCGTTTATTGTAAACTATTTCAAAGTCTGTTCAATCAATTTCGCTTTTCAAATCCTCACGAAGGTCAACAAATAAAGTTAGGTTAGGTCGCAAAGTGCCGCAATGAAAACGCACAACTTTCCTAACCTCACTTTTCTTTTGCTAATGTGTGAAGAGTGTGCGTGTGTGTGTGAGTCTATAACATTTACCTAATAACTAAAGTCGATAAATAACATAAGATCTATTTGGACAACAAAGAAAGTAATGCCCAGCCCAAAGAGGTGTTTCTTTCTCTTTCTTTCTATTTCTTGTTTATTACGAAAGCGTTGCATATTAGAGCTGTCATATCAAATGAGCATTATGCTAATGAATGGAGATCGGCTATTTAGATTGGAACGTGTACATGCATGTAGAAGAAACCGAGGCAGGAGAAGAAGTGAAAACGAGTTTGAGAGAAACAGTTTTTCTCAGCTCATATTTGGGGCGTGGAGGCATAATGTTATAACTGTCAGTTACACGACTCTTTAGCTTCGACTAATTTGTTAATAAGTCATAATTGATTTCACATCACACGTTGGCAATTAAAAAACAATAAAAGCAACAACAACAGCACCAAAATTATTTTGTTCGCGCCGAGCTAGATGAGCCTCGCTGTCTGAAATCTTAAGTCGGTCAAACGAAAGCGAAATCTCAAAATCGAAATTTCTTTTCGGATTCGGTTTCGGTTTCTGTTTCGCTTTTGTGGCTTTTGAGTGAAAGTGATTTGCGTACACTTGCTGATCCATAAGACGCTCCATGTTCATGTCAGAATCGTAATGCGCTCCCAGAAATCTTTTAACTTTAAGATCTCTTAACTCTTCAAGCTCTCAGCACTCAGCTCTCAGCTGGAGTTGCAGAAGTCCAACACTGAGCGTTGTCTCATTTAATTAATTGCCTCGTGGCCATAAATTCTTCAAAGTAATCATTAAACGCTGCGCCGTTGCGCAATGGGCCATGAGTAGACGCTTTGGCTTCAAGCCACAAAAACTTCAGGTACGCCAATTTCAATTTCAGTTACAGGCCAAAGAGTCGTCAACTCCGTCCGTCGGCCAATGGCATCCAAAAACTGTGCGACTGGCCAAAGTTGGCCTCGTTAGT